CTGAAACACCTCTAACCTGTGGATGGCGGCTCAAAAGAGTCTTAAAGTGAATAATTTAATGATGAGTAGAAAGTGATGAGCATTTTACATCATAAGAACTGATGTTTGGGAGACCGTCAGTGTGCAGATTCACTACCAAACAAATGCACATACTTTACTATGTGGCTACAACTTTTGCCAACTATGTGATATACTTTTATTAGTGTTTATAAATAATAATATACTAATAGTATATCATGCAGTGTCAGAAACGTCATAAATAAGTGTATTTGAGATGACTTAACAACTCAACATAGTTTAAAGTAAGGGCAGTGTTATTATCAGTTATGCATGTGTTTGAATGATTTTAGTGTTGTCCGAATACACTGAATGAATACCTCATGCTCGACCTCTAGTTGGTGGTGCATAAGTTCCCTTACTTGTTAAAGCCAGTGCAAAACCAAAGAGGCAAAATTTGGACACCAAACATTTCTTGTCAGATTGACTGTATTTGGTGCAAAGGTGAAATTAGATCAATTTGATTTTTCACTAAACTTTTTAAGCTGTATTTAAGCTGAATTTTATGCCAGTTTCTGGCAGTCAATGAAAGCCTTAGTCAGTTTCCTTCTGTCAGTGAAAGCTTCTGTCAGTTAGTATTCAATTTTGAGTTTAGAAAAAATGGATAAATGTTATTACCATGTTGTTACATATTTATGCTTCTGTAACCACACATGCATAAGCACTGTAATTACACAATTGGCTTGTAATGGTAGGCAAAAGTATACCTCTACCACAAGGCCATGTTTTATGTGTGTGTGTGTCTCCACTACTGCCTTCATGGCATTGTTACACCACCCACAGCACCTTGAAACTTTTCCATCTGCAGATGATGATGAAAGTGAGATGGAGTGGAGGGGGCCTGTTTTGTTTAGATTAAGGACATGCCTCTCATTCTTTTCCATTCTTGTTTATTCCTATCTTGTCTCCCCCCTGTGTGCTTTCATTCTTTACTCTATCTGTCTTTGTTTTCTCCCGCCGCATCTCTCCACACATCTTCATCTCTCGCTTCCTCCCACTGCCCTTTCTCTCTGACCTCTAGCTTTCTTTCTCCGTCTCTCTATCTGCGTGTAGATGTCTGGTGAGTGGATGGGGCAGGGGGGCTTGTGAGAACCGTCAGGGGGCTCTGCAAGGATGTAGTGTGATTTTAAAGGGGCCAACAGCGGGATGAATTTGGTGGTCTGATAGGGCAAGGACAATTGATCTGTCAAGTGTGAATAAGGGAAGATGCTCTAAATTAGAGGGGGATGTATGGTGCTGATAGAGAGAGGTGGAGGGAGAGAAAAGAGAGAGAAAGAGCGAGAGTGAAAGGGGAATAGGTGCATCTAGCTCTAGTTCTCGGGTGTGTTTGTCTCCGTCTCTCTGTGAACCCATCAATCCTGGTTAGGGAATACCAGGTCCAAAGGAGGAGAGGAAGACAAGCAATTCCCCAATCAAAAAACTGCCTCCCTCTGTCCCCTTCTCTCTCTCTCTTTCTACCTTTCTCTCTCTCTCCCTCTCTCTACCTCTATCTTTTCAAGAAAAAGAGGCCAAAAAGTGCACTAAAGGCCAGAGCACACCAAACAAACAAATATTCTAGAAAATAGGAGATCATTCTAGCACAGTATAAAAGGGGAAATAACATTGTAGAACAGTGTGAATAAAGGGGAGGACATTCTAGATCAGAATGAATGTAAGGAGAACATACTATGGGCTCATTCTAGGATGGTGTGAATGGGGAGAACATTTTAGAAAAGTGAGGAAGGGCGTAGTGTCAGTGATCGAGAACACTATAGAATGTGAAAAGAAGAAAACAATCTAGAACAATGTGAATGGAGGAGAGCATTCTATTATGTTCTCCATCACTGACACTACTCCCTTCCACACTGTTCTAAAATGTTCTTTGCTCATTCGCACTGTTCTAAAATGTCTTCCTCAGTCATGCTGTTCTAAAATGTTCTCCCCATTCACACCATCCTAGAATGTGCCCATAATATGTTCTGCCTACATTCACTCTGATTGAGAATGTTCTCCACTTATTCATGCTGTTTCAGATCAGAGTGAATGTAGGCAGAACACACTATGGGGACATTCTAGGGTGGTGTGAATGGTGAGAACATTTTAGAACAGCATGACTTTGGAGAACATTTTACAACAGTGTGAATGAACAAATAACATTTTAGAACAGTGTGGAAGTGAGTGGTGTCAGTGATGGAGAACATTATAGAATGTGAATAGGAGAAAACAATCTAGAACAGTGTGAATGGAGGAGAACAGAATGGCACCCGAAAGTTACATCAATCTAACATTTGGGCACTTTATGTCCAGTCTACTTTAAAAAGTTGCTAAACCAGTTTCTTCACTCATAGCCGGCAAACTTGCAATGTGAATTCACTATATCGATTAAAAGCTATTTGCCTTTATAGTACATTTAACTTAATGAGTAACTGTACAGCACAATTCAGTCATTGTGATAGTTTAGAAAGTGCTGTACATTTCAAACAGTATTTATAGTAGTTCCATTGATTTGCATTAAAAGTGAAGAAGGTTGTTTTCCTTCTCCTGTAAAGTTCTCTTTTTGGAGATACAAGGCTTTGTTTTGTTTGTTGATTGGTCTGTATAGTGTAGTGGGTAACATCTCTGCTTTCTACACCGTAGGCTGGGGTTTAATCCCCAACTGGGCAAGTGCCCTACTCTGGATAAGAGCATCTGCCAAATGGCGTAAATGTTCAGAGAGCAGTGATATATATATATCTGTGTAGAATGCAGAGGTGTTACCCACTATACCAACCAATCAACAAACAAAACAAAGCCTTGTATCTCCAAAATGAGAACTTTACATATATATATGTAATTAATTTGGTTCAATAGGATTTTTTAAAGCCCATCCAAACAGTAACTATGACGAAACATGTCTGTGGGTGGAGCACGTTTAGGTCAACTGAAAAGTAACAGCAAGAAGATTGAGATTTGAGAAGAATGCAAGGTGTCCTCAAACTTTTGATGTGCAGTGTATGTCAACAACTCTACACTTCAACTCTACACATCCGTGCGGTTCTCTGGGGTGAAGACCCGTGATAGGGAGGGTCCGGCGTTTATGTAAGACGGCGCAGCCCGGACTCCTCTGGGTCCTGTAGGCCTGTCAGCGCTCATCGAGGTGCACTATTAAATATGACACTTAAGAATGGGAGTCACCCCGACATCCACTGGTAATGGAGACGCTGATTTAAGACGACAGGACATAAAAAAAAGGAAAGTGGAGCACTACCTCCTCTGCTCTCGCTGTCGGCGGGCTTCACCTGGATAGGCCTGTTCATCTGCACACAGCAAGAGAGGGATGGACAGACAGAGACAGAGAGAGAGAGAGAAGAGAGAGAGAGAGAGAGAGAGAGAGAGAGAGGGAGAGAGAGAGAGACATTAGTTTTTTGAGACAGAACACAAAGGGACAGGTGCACTTCTACATTTTGAACATTTCAATATATCAGAGAAAGAGAGGTACAAAGAGAGACAGAGAGAGATAGAGAAATAGCGAGAGAGAGAGAAAGAGAAAGAGTGAGATACAGAGAGAGAGAGTGAGAGAGAGACAGAAAGAGTAAGAGAGAGAGAGAAAGTGAGAGAGACATTTGATTTTTGAGATTTGAAATAAAGGTGCAGGTGCATTTTTATATCTTGAACATTTTAGAGGAAGAGAGAGAAAGAGATAGAGAAAAAGGAAGAGAAGGAGGAAGAGAGAGAAAAAGAGACAAAGGTGAGTGAGAGAGAGAGAGTGAGTGAAGGAGAGACGGGGAGAGAGAGAGAGACAAAAGACAGAGAGAGTGAGAGTGAATGAGTGAGAATGAGAGAATGAGAAATCAGGGGAGAGAAAGAGGGAGTGAGAGTGAGGCAGAAAAAGGAGAGGGAAAGAGAGAGAGAGGGGGGAGATAAAGAGAGATGAAAGAGTGTGAGTGACTGTCAAATCTGCACGTATATATACATTGAGTGTTTAAGTACATGCTTGTGTGTGTGAGAGTGTGTCTGTGTGTGCGTCTGTGTGTATATGTGTGTGTGAGTGTGTGTTTGTGTGTGCGTGTCTGTGTGTGTGTCTGTGTGTATGTGTGTGTGTGAGTGTGTGTTTGTGTGTGCGTGTCTGTGTGTGTGTCTGTGTGTATGTGTGTGTGTGTTTGTGAGAGAGTGCTGCACCGCTCTAAAGCATTTCATTTTTTTCTCCGTCACTCGTGGCAGGTTCCCAACAAACTCCGGCTCAATAATACATTCAAAGCGTGAAACGGTCCGCACCAATCAATTTTTAATAACGCCAATCGCCACGGTGACAGCAGGGAGGGGTGGGGCGGGAGGAGGCACACCCACCTTCAACCACTGAAGAGTAACAGAGCACAGAGAGGGAGGGATAGAAGATGAAAGAAAGGGATGAGTGCGAGATGGAGAGGGGGAGAGAAAGAAATGGAAAGAGTAAAAAAATGAAAGAGAGATAGAGAGCAAAATATAAGAGTAGAGAGAGAAGGGAGAGAGAAAGAGTGTCATAAAGAGGGAAAGAAGCAGAGAGAGTCACAGAGAGACAGAAAAAGATAGAGGGAAATAAGGGGAGACAGAAATAGACATATAGAGAAAGAGTGCAAAGACAAGTGAGACAGAGAAAGAGAAAGAAAAAAGAAAAAGAGAAATAGAAAGAAGGAGATGGTGTGAAGTCTTTGTGGATGGATGTATTAAAGCTCTAAATGTGTAAATAGTGTATGTTTACGTATATGCTTATGCATATGGATAATATGTTAAAATATGAAATGACGAGCTGTAGGTAGACTGAAACTTTTTCTATTATTCTACGGTTTTTACTGAATGCATGATTTTCTCATGATTATATACACACAGCTTTACATAATGGAGGTATAAAGAGTTCATTTGCAAAAACAGATTATCTCCATTTTAATGAATTTTCATAAATCACATGTTTTGCTTTCACTCAGGTCCTGTAGATGCGATACAAAGGCTCTGGCTAGGAGCTGAAAGGAAAGCAAGCTCTGGGCCTCTCACTACATAAAAATCACTCGTTGTCAGGCCTAATCACACACACACACACACACACACACACACACACACACACACACCACTCTCACACACACACACACACACACACACACACACACACCACTCTCTCTCACACACTAAACACACACACACACACACCACTCTCACACACACACACACACACACACACACACACACACACACACACACACACAAACACAAACACCACTCTCACACACAAACACACACATTTTTCTCCCTCTCTTCCATCTCTCACTTTTATCGGCAGTAAAGCCTGGCTAACGTTTTTAATGTGTTTTGATGCATTATTTATTTCACCATGGCTGCTGATAGCATGAGAGAGAGAGGGGTGAAGAGAGAGCAAGAGAGAGAGAGGGGGGTAGATCAGGACATAGATCGGGGAGCAGAGCAAGGTCACACACTCACCCCTACCACGACACACACACACACACGCACACACGCACACACGCACACACACACACACACACACACACACACACACACACACACACACACTCCCAGCAGGCTCTGCCTCACATACATATGAATGTTTTCCTCTGACTGGTACAAATGGACTGCGCTGGATGTGTGCTAATTGTATTCCTCCTACTGGACCTTAGCCAGGAGAGAGAAACCCACCCACACTACAGCATTTTACCACTGCACACACACACACACACACACACACACACACAAGCATATGCATGTATACATCTACATACTCTAATATGTAGACTTAGAGTTTTAACTAGGCCTGAAATTTTGGTCCGAACCTGAAAGCTTTCTGTTCGATCTGACTGACCTGGCATACAGCATCATGTTTTGAATCCAAACCCGACCTGAGCCAGAGAGAATTCTGTCTGAACCTGACCCAGATCACTTTATCATATTTTGAGTCTGAAATTGACCACAGTATAACAAAATTCTGTCTGATATTGACCCGAACTGGCTCTTTAGCACTGAAAGTGCAGAAGAAAGCCTGATAGCATAGCATTGGTTATCATGTAGTGACAATAATAACATCTTTAGAGCATGACTAAATAAAAAGTAACCTAAAGTGAAATAATCAAATACTCAGCTGTCCAAAATAAAGCCTAAATCATGATTTAAGAAATTAATTTGTCAATTAATGCTTCTGAACAGCATCTCAAGCATTTTTATTGGATAAACTTTCTATACTGTACTGTAATCACATTGTACTGTGCTGATGTAGCAAGATGTTCACTTCATCTGTTTAATCTTAAGATCCTATTTGTTTACATAGAACATACTGAACATATAACACGAACATACTGAATATAACAAATTGAGCATTCTTTTGGCAACACTGCTCTCAATTACAGTGTATGTCCCATTTTCCTGCGATTGTGGGCCTTATGGACCTCGGTGCTGAGTGGGTTACTCCAGTGTGTCATGTTAAAAACTGATTTAATGTAGTGAAAGATGTGAAAAATAAAGTAAGGAGAAAAACTAAAGTAGTGTAAGTGAGAAACAGGTCTGATATATATTTGAAAAATGAGGGTTCAGACAAATATTTAGCTCTACACTGTTAGAAATAAAGGTTCTGTGCAGGTTAATTTTTCAAGGTACAAACAATGTAAATGTTCCCTCAAAGGTACAACAATGGTTTTAAGGTACAACTGTGAACCTTATATAAGTTTTTCCAGGTGAAAAGAACATATTTGTACTTTTTCATACCTAATATTTTAAAACAGAACAATAAAATAAAAAGCTTGGAGACGAGATGGGGTGTGTGGAGTCAATACAACTTGTGCACAGGTATACAACACAGACACATGCACAAGCATGTACATACCGCTCACACACATGTACAGCATAGCACACATGGATGTATGGACATACATGCGCACATGCATAAACACTTAGGATGCATGATCAGAAGTTCAAAATCATCAGATTTTTGTAATAAACGTGATCTACAATCTATTATCATTATTTTGGCCAATCTGTGTTGCAGTTTTATGATGTAACTAACATGAGATACAATCTTAAAAAAGATGGTGCTTCAACGGTTCTTCAGTAAAAAAAGAGGTTCTATAGAACCATGAACACTCAAAGATCACCCCTTTACATAATTCAAAGGTTCTTTGCATCATGAAAGGGTTTGTCAGGTTGATGGAGAATATGTATGAATGTGCTGTAGACGGGTTCCATATAGAACCTTACTGCAAAGGGTTGCATAAAGCACTCAAAAGGGGTTGTTCTACTATTACAAGCTTAACATTGTAACAATAAAAGAATGCTTTTGGGTGCTATATAGAACTCCTTTTAAAAATGTTCTATATAGAACTATCTACAGCATATTTTCTATCAATCTATCAATTCTATCTATCGACGTTTCATGATGCAAAGAACTTTTTAATCATGCAAAAGGTTCTTTGAGGGTTCATAGTCCTTTATAGAACCATTTTCTTTTCTAAAAAACCCTTGAAGCACTATCTTTTTAATGAATTACACCTATACCAATTTTAATTACACCTATACCAAAATGTTTTAGCATAAGCATGCATGACGTTCTAGTGAGCACTTTATTTGACTCATGTTATTTCAACAGCCAAGTGGGTTTTAACTTAAGGATTTAAAATGCCAGATAAGCTAATTAAAGAGCAAATAATGTTATTTATATTGTGTTTTTTGCTAAGAGAAAGCACAACGTGATAGTGTATTTTATGTGTCCATTTAGCCCACACAGTGTGAGCCTCAGGTTCAAAAGTAGGAAAAATAAAGATTCGCCAAAAATATCGAATAAAAGCTATATGGAAGGTACATGTTAATTTCTCTTATAAAAGTGGTATTAATCATAATACAGCATTGATATTTCTTATGTATGTAAAGACACTCCCAACAATGTATATCATGGAAAAAGGCAACATTAATGAAACGGGTCTGTAATGTTCTTTGGAAGAAAATCATTCTTATGAACACAAACAGAATGAAACAAGCCTGATTAAGCTCAAGTTTGTTGAGACTGAATGAAATGCAATTGACCTTTTTTGCTCATCACACATGCATACACATACATATCAGGGGTGTAACTATGGGGTGGGGGAGTGCACTAGATTTCTGACTGCTCAAAAAAGTCCTCTGATGCCAATAAAAATGTTAAAAAATGTAATTTCTACTCTTACAATACAGGATGATTCCCAATATGGCAAGTTCACAGGAAACACATTTTTCGTAAAACAAATAAAAGTGACCATCGTCAGGGATACTTTCAAGCAGGATAGCTGGTTGTCAACCTCACTATATTGAT